GAAAAGCGACGAGAGCCCAGATCAGCAAGCAGGGAACACAGCTTGGGAAGAGGCTTCCAGATCCACAGCGAAGGCTGCGTCCCTCAGGAAGCCGTCCACGTGAGCTGCAGGGGAACACGTGAGGCGCCCGGTTGGACGGATCCCAGGGTGGATCATTGTTTATAAACCAGACAGCAACCCGGCGGGGAGCTCAGGAAGTCCAGGCCAGCAAAACAGAAAAACAGCCGCAAAACCAAAAGGAGACTCCAAAGGCAGGAGCCGGGGCCAGGGGGCGCCGAGGGGTTGTGCACATCATAACCTGCAGGTCCACATCTGCAGACCGAGGGCTGGGGGAAGTCTGGGGATTTTCGTTTTGTTTTATTTGGTACCAGGGATTAAACCCAGGGGTGCTTAACTGAGCCACATCCCCAGCCCTTTCTTATATTTTTATTTAGAGTCAGGGTCTTGCTGAGTGGCTTAGGGCCTCACCAAACTGCTGAGGCTGGCTTTGAACTTGCAATTCTCCTGCCTCGGCCACTGCACCCGGCCTGAAGTTGGGTTTTTCAGGGAAGGACACACAGTAAGACAGAAGGCTCGGTTAGACAGCAACCAGAGACCGTCTCCATTCAAATCAACAGGGCGCGTCAGCAGGCAGCCCAGGCATTTACCTTTTGTAAATGTTCGGTTTTTCTAAAAAGTCTTTAGACTCTTGAAAGATAATTAATTTTAATCATTTTAAGTATAAAATAAATATGTGATACATGATCAGGGCAGGCCCGACAGGTAACAATTTCATAATGTCCTGAGGATAATGATACTGTGTCCTAGCTCCCCAAGGTCACAAGGAGCCACGGTCCTCTCCACCCTTCTTTCGCAGACTGATCCACCAGGGTCCTCCCACACTGGCCTGATGCTCTTTTCCAAAATGAGCTACTATCTTGGTTTCTTAAACGAGGTCTCACTTTTCTTCCTGTGGTTTCTTTCATATTCCCATATCCCCCCCACCCCCATGCCAGGTTCCATCCTGTCTGTGGCTCAAGGAATATCAGTTTAACAGACTGAAGAGCAAGACTGTGCTCAGATGTTCACAGAACGAGTGAGGGAACCATAGGCCTGAAACTACTGACATGTCATCATGACTTTTATGAGATGCTACCTGACTTTGGAGCCTTCAGGGTTCCCTTGAGAGCATTGTCACTGTACCGTTGGCTTCCTGTTGGGGCAGGCCAGCTTGTGCTGCTGGGCTTGTGGCTGCGATGTACGGGAACCTACCCTCGGAAGTCGCTCATCCAAGGAGGAGGCCCAGTGCCCAGGACCAACTCCCATTCAAGCCCTGGATGAAGGAGACTACAGGACCTTTGGCTTGAGGCTCTCCCTTCCCTACTGCTCTGGGCCAAAGGGTGTCCAGGGGTGGCAGGAAGTAGCAATGAAGGAGACATCTGTGTGTTTCATCTGAAAGTGATCCTGGAATTCTCCATCCCAGACACAATGTAAATGTGAAGGACCCAGGACAGGCAGACCTCTAACCACGTCTACAACCCCAGTGCCCCAGCATCACCTCAGTAGGCCCCAGTACAAGTGCCACCTCCCCTGTGACACCTGTCCTGTGCCCACGATTGTTACCCTGCTGAGGCCTGCTCTGGCACTTAACCTGTGTGAATAGACTTACAGATGTTACAGCTCGAAACTTGGTTCTGAGTCTTACACATGTGCGTATGTGTGCAGCCCTGGCCCCAGAGGGGTGGTTAGCAGTGGATAATTTGAATGATTTGCTAAACCAGCAGGGAATCCCAGGGTGCCTTGCCAGGTGGAGAGGGTGCTGTGGGCTCCACGGTGAAGTGAAGGCACACCGAGAATCCTTCCATTTGGGGCTGTGTGTGTTTGCAGAAGCCTGTGTCCCCAAGACAGGCTGAGGAAGGCAGTTCAATTATGCACTAAGCACCTTCACGATCTTGCTCCCTAGCGACCCCTGCTGCCTCCGCCCTGCCAGGCAAACGGGCTGCAGACCAGTTCCAAAGACAACACACTGGCTGCAGCTGGTCTGACTCCCTGTGAGCATCTTCCTGGCACATCTAAGCTGGAGACTCCCTGGCTCCAGGCTCCAGAAAGGAAATGGAGATGGAACATAGTCCGAATGGGAATCTGGGGTGGTCAATGTTTCCTAAGAGGGAAAAGGGTCTCCATGTCCAGAATTCCAGGAGGTGGGGACGGCAGGGTGGGGGAGGCTGGCCTGCAGGGAGTGCTGACAGGCAGGAAGGTGAAAAGGGCAGGCTCAAGCTGACCAGATGTTGGCCGCTGTCCACGGAGCTGGGAGTCTCCTGCTTTGTCCAGTGAGCCTATTTTTCTGCTTGGAGAAGAATAGTCTATTTCATGAAAGGATGCCTTTTTATAAAATCAGCCATTAAACACTCGAGTGTGCGTGAGTCCTCCTTCACTGAAGGCCCTGCTGGGTGGGGACAGAGGCCAGGAGCTCACTTCCTCCGGCACTGAGTCATGGAAGAAATGACTGGAATCGCCAGGCCTCCGGGCAATGGGCGGACTTGGCTTGTGCAAGGAGGAGGGAAACCTGTCACTTAGGACACCCGGTTTCCTTCTGGTTCTGCCATTCGTTGGCCATGTGACCCTGGGCAAGTCCTCGTCCTCCCTGGAGGCCCCAGTTTTCTTATCTGTGAGGGGCTGGGGTCCAATATTCTATGAACATCTCCCCCCGTTGGGCTGCTGAGGGCTGGCAGGAGGCAGAGCTTACACAGCTGAGCAACAGCAGGCCTCGGGGGGAGGCAGAAGGTGGGATCCCATCAGTCCTGGGGCAGAGATGACCCACCCTGAGGCACATGATCGAGGGACGCTCAACAGACCAGACAACTACACGTTCTGTCCCCAACCATCCACAGAGGTTGAGAGTGACCGGGGCCACTTCAGCCTGGCACTCAAAAACTGGGCCAGAGCAAGTGGAAATGCCAGAGATGGCCAAGCTCTGAACAGCACCAACACAGCTGGACGATGACCTCGATGCTGAGGACCGGTCTGCAGCTTGGAGGAGATGAGGAGGGACCAAGCACAAGAGAAGAGACAGATTTATAAAGCACAGTGGGGCTGCCTGCCAAGGCCAGGGCCATTACAGAGCGGGGACCTGGATGACAGGGAGCAGAAAGGAGTCAGGACACCTGATCTCTAAATCACGTTCTTCCTTCAGCAACCCTAGGACCCCACCAGGTATCAACTGGAGGCAGTGAGACTACTTACACTTCTCTTCCCAGGAAATCCTTCTCCTCCACGGAGCTGGCAGCACGGGAACCAGCTTCATCCTTTCAACAGAAAGAAAAGCTTCCTAAGAATGAAACCAAACACATTCAAACCTCACTGTTGCTCACTGTTTTTTCCGGGAAAAAAAAAAACAAATCATTTCAGGGATATTTACTGCCTGCTTCAGGAACTGAGAATCGTGCCCTTGATTCAGTGGTGACTGGACACCACTTGTAAATGTCTCAAGTTCAGGTTTAACTTTAGAACCCCTTGAATAAGAATAGAAGGGCTGGGGAGGTGGCTCAAGTGGTAGCGCGCTCGCCTGGCATGCGCGGGGCGCTGGATTGGATTCTCAGCACCACATGCAAATAAAATAAAGATGTTGTGTCCTCCAAAAACTAAAAATAAATATTAAAAAATTCTCTCTCTCTCTTAAAAAAAAAAAAGAATAGGATCTTTAGAGCAAACTCTGATTTCAGTCTTAAGGTGAGTCTGCCAGGACACTTAGACATCTACTACACAAACACTGAGGGTGTCATTGGTATCTGACACCCTGTGATTGCTCATCTCCCCCGAGGCACCACACCATGCCGATTTGCACAACTTCCTACAGTTCTTGGTACATTGGGGAGTTTTTTTCCATTTATCTTTGTGGGGGGAGGGGGTCTCTTTGTGTGTTGGATTTTGTTTTTTCGGGATCTGGTCTTACTACGTTGCCCAGGCTGGCCTTGAACTCCTGGATTCAGTCTTTGTGCCTCTGTCTCCCGAGTAGCTGAGACTCCCAGCCTGCCCCACCACACCTGTTATTGATCTTCAGCCCCCAAAGCCCATGACTCTGGGCTGGGAAAGTAAGTTACATTTTTATTTTCAGTTCCTTCTAACTGAATTTAACATCTCTTTCCATCATGGAAAGAGCCACAAACCCAAAGTTGAATTAATGATAGTTGTAATTTTGTTCCTACCAAGAAAAACCATGGATGTCTTATACTCTATCACAGTTGTTGGAGAAATTGTGAAATACTGCTACATTCAAAACTACTATCTTAATGAAGTAACCACAAGTATAGTTCAGATTTTTAGATATTTTGACATTCATCATAATTCAATATCACACGTTTTCTTTGTGATCTCATACATCTTATACATAAGACATTTTCTGAGAAGGTTCCATAGGTTTTTACCAGAAAGTTTATGATGAAGAACATGCACACACACACACGCATGCATGCTCTCCCCCAAAGAAGAGTTTAAAAACTAGAAGCAAGGGAAGAAATCTTCTTTCAGCTGCTTCCACAGATGCCTGACACCCAGTGGGTGCTGTCCTTGTGCTCTGGTGGGCAGTTAATTGTCTCTGTCCCCGATACGGAGCCTGAACTACCATAGGCATCTGTAATCTCGGTCCTTGCAGAGAGAGCCTGGCACAAAGCAGTTTGTGCAATGGATGGAAATTCAAAGTAGAAATAGGTCCCTATTCAAATCAGCCCACAAGTCTTCCTTTTGGATGAGGCAGACATCTATGAGTGTGAATGTGTGCCCTCACACCCAAATAATAGAGTAGACACACGGGGATTACTATTGGGGTGTAGGGTGCGTAGATTGGGACATTTTTTTTTCAAAGAAATTCAAAACAGACTTCTGGAAGATTATTTTTTAAGAATCATGCTGGCCGTGTTGGAAACAACCCCCTGTGCCGGCCCCACCCGGCCTCACGTGGCCACCTCTCTACCCCCTCCACGCAGGGCTGGCTCCCCAGGATATATAAGCCTGTCTGAGTTCAGGCAGGAGCCAGCAGGGCCACCCATCCAGCCACCTCACAGAGCTGCCCAGTTTTGGAAGAAGGCTCGCCCAGCCTCTGCACGCAGGTTCCCCGTGCACTTGGCAGCTGCAGGCCCACCATGCCAGCTACGCACATGCTGCTTCTGGCCTGCCTGGCGTGGGGAACAGGGGCCAGGACGGCCCAGCTCCGGAAGGCCAACGATCGCAGCGGCCGATGCCAGTACACCTTCAGTGTGGCCAGCCCCAGTGAGTCCAGCTGCCCCGAGCAGGGCCAGGCCATGTCAGCCATCCGGGACCTACAGAGGGACAGCAGCACCCAGCGCGCCGACCTGCAGTCCACCATAGCTCGGCTCAACTCCCTGGAGAATCTCCTCAACCAGCTGACCCTGGGCCAGGCTGCTGGGCCCCAGGGGACCCAGGAGGGGCTGCAGGGAGGGCTGGGCACCCTGAGGAAGGAGCGAGACCCGCTGGAGACCCAAACCAGGGAGCTGGAGGTGGCCTACAGCAACCTCCTCCGAGACAAGTCGGCTCTGGAGGACGAGAGGAGGCGACTGGCGCAGGAGAATGAGGACCTGGCCAGGAGGCTGGAAAGCAGCAGCCAGGAAGTAGCCAGCCTGAGAAGGGGCCGATGTCCCCAGACCCCAGCCACCCCTCGGGAGGTGCAGCCAGACTCCAGGGAAGGTAAGGACGCAGGTGGCGGTCTGCCTGTCCCCCAGGCGACACGCTCCTGGGGACCTGCGAAAGGTGTCTGAGCCTTCTCTTCCTGCCCCTCCTGCCCCCCAGAGACCACACACCGAGCACACCACGCGGGGTAAAGAGGACAAAGCAGGTATTTTCACATATTTCCAGCAATTTGGCTCCTGCAAGCTGGTGTGGTTGGTGGCTCTGAGCTGGTGACTAGCCAGCACAGAGGTTTCATCTCCCGAAGCAAAACAAGAAACCAGGGTCAGGGGAGAGATGCGTGGAAGGTGATCAGTGGGAGGCTCCCAACTGCGCTTTTTGGAAAAGTATTCTTTTTGAACCTGCTCAGGGACCATTATTCCCACCCTTTGGTGCCAGAACGGCCTCTGTCCCTGGGAAGGCAGCACATTAACGAGATACTAAGGGGGTTCGCTGCAGCAGCACTTGGGGTTCCCTCCATCGGCGTTTTGGAGGTTTTCCTATTCTTGGCTCCTCTGAGAGCCTCTGCTTTTAATTAAGTTCCCGAGGCGGCTTTTCTAACTGAGCTGCTCTCTGTCCCTCCTGGCCCACATTTGCCTGGGGACAGGTCTGTGTACTTCAGGGGACAGGCACACTCTCCCCATTAGCAGGGAAGACAGTAATCGCATCACTTCTTGTAAAAGCTGTGCTCCTAAATGTTCTGGGTGAGGAAGCGAGCAACGGTGCAGTGGGACACAGTCTGGACTTCATCAAGGGAGAAAGAAAGGGCCTGGAGGAAGGGCAGACTCCAGGAGTGTGTGAGCCCTGCCTGGCTCTTGACAGACAGGGAGAAAGTCACAAGGGACGTGTGGGACCTTTGAGGAAATGCGAACACCGACTGCACATGCTACTGTCTGAACACTCGGGTCCTTGGGAGAGAGAGTGGTGGTACAGATGTGAGGAGAGTCCCTTGTTCCAAGGAGAAGCCTGCTCAAGGGCTTGGGGTGCAGGGCCAGGAGGTTGGCATTTTGCTGTCAGAGGGTTCAGCAACAATTGGAGGACAAGAGGAAGAGGCCCGACAGATGTGGCAGACAGGGAACAACTGACCGGTCCAAGTGCAGAGTCCACGGGGGCCGGGGTGGGGTGGGGTGGGAGGGACTTTCTTAGTATCTTTCAAAATAACTTGATGGGAAAAATATTTTCTAAAAAAAAGCTTTCTACAGGAAAGGCAAGATCTTCAGAGGGGTGAGGCTAGGAAACCCGAGTCGACGCCTGGGTCAGTTATTTATTTCTCTCTGTTCCTGCATTTCGCATCTGCGATTCAGCAAGGGAGAGCCCTGCTGTGAGAAATGGCTTCTGCACAGTTCAAATGAAATGACTGTAAGGTGTGGAGGATTGCTTAAAACCCTGCATCCTTAGAATTGGAAGAGATCCCACTCGGAATGTTACCACTAGGGAGAGAGTTCTTGAGAGGTTAAAGGGTCCAAGGCCACACAGCTGGTCAGTGCAGAGGGAGCACTGACTTGAACTTGAGTCTGGAAGACAACAGGGAGTTACTACTGGACATAACATGGGCATTACTGATTTCAGGACGCTCCTGGAATGACCCTCTCAGCACAAACCCACACATGCGTGTGCAGTGAAAATACAGTTAATGTTTTGTCTTTTTTAATGACTGTGGCCATTTAACAGGTCTTTGGAATTTCTTAGCTGTGTCCTCTGATTTTGTATTTCTTTTTTTTTGGGCCTTCCAACTGCTCTGCTTTTGAAATCAGGCAACGGCCCATTAGAATCAACTCCAAACCTGGAGTCTCTTTTCTAGTAGTGGATCATTTTCGGCAGGAAATTTCATTTGTGCAAGAACGTGGAACTTGAAAGGCCCCAGTGCCACTGGCTCATTCTTGCGAATGTGGAAACTGAGGCCACCCATAGTCCTAACCATTACTGCCGCTGTCTAGCTCTCCTAGAGCCACAGAAGTCGCTTGTTTATCCATGCACACATGTGACAGAAAACACTTCAACACACGCACAAACCTGCACACAAGCCCGCACTATGAATGGAAGCCCAAAGCAGGGGAAACATCGTGAACCTGAGCTCTTAGCCTTTGCTTTAGGCGGGTCCCCCACAGACCAGAGCCTGGAGGCGGCTGAGTGCAGGTGGTTTATTGTGGGCTTACTTCAGGGCAGAGGGAGAGAATTCAGGGAAGGAATCAAGATGGCAGGGGCCTCTCAAAAGTCACCACAGTGGACAACAGCAGCTCAGTCCCAGTCAGGACCTACAGAGGGCCTGTCCAATGTGACAGAAGTGGGGACCGTTCATCTGTGACTCTGATAAGGCTATGGTGAGGGCCACCAGGCGTTCTAGCAGACTCCCACACAGTCAGAGAAGCTGGGCAGGGTGGGGAGGCAAGGTCCTGGCGGGTGACACCTGAGAGAGAAGGGCCACCTCCACACAACTGGGAAAGGATGGGGCGTGGGGACCAGGCGTGTTCAAGCCAGTGCCAAGGATTCCCAGTGCCTATAGGATCGGGACAATGACCCCCAAGACTGGAAGTAACACGGGTAAGCGCCCAGCCCAGGGCTCGACAGAGGAGCCACCCCATAAGTGGACTGCCACTACAAAGGGCCTCTTCTGCTCGAGTTCCGTCACCGTCGACATACACGCAGCATCCCCTATAACCCGCCTTGATCCTAGAGACAGAGCTCACTGGGACGAGTCTACAAGCTGATCTCCACTTCCAAAAGTATTTGTGACAACCTCTAAATATGTCGGCACTCTTCTTTTTCCGCATTCTCCTCATTTAAATTTCATAAATATATTTGTGTATTTATTTGTATTTTCTTCTGGTGCTAGGGATTTAACCCAGTCCCTGGGGTGCTCTACCACTGAACTATACCCCAGTGTTTTGTTCTGTTTGTAATTTTGAGACAGGGTCTCTGAAGTTGCCCAGGCTGGCCTCAAACTTGCAGTCCTCCTGCCTCACCCGCCCTGGTGGCTGGGATTACAGGTGGGAGCCACCGTGCCTGGCTCTTCATTTAACAAGACTGACTGGCCAGGCCTGCTGGTGCACGCCTTAATCCCAGCTCCCTGGAAGGTGGACACAGGAGGATCACAAGGTCCAGGCCAGCTTTGCAAAGTTGGCCTCAGCCACTTAGGGAGACCCAGCCTCAAAGTGAAAGAGTAAAAGGGGCTGGAGATGCAGTGGAGATAAAGCACCCCTGATCTCAGTCCCTAGAACTGCAAACAAACACACACACACACACACACACACACACACACACACTGAACTTTTCAAGCAGTGATAATAAATATTTATAAAAGTTATCACAATATCATTTGCATGCTTATGCAAATGAGTTAATGAGCTTAGTTTCTAGGTCAAGCTTCCTAGAACGAGTTTAGCAGAGGAGATTAGGGCAGAATAGACAGAGAACTTCCAAAATTTTCTAATAGACGTCAACCTTGAAACCACAGAAGGACTGAGTTTTGATTTTTAAAGTCATAAACCTTTTAACTCTGACACAACACAGTTGCTAACCTTTTCCTAGTCTCTGCTTTTTTCTTTGCATTCAGAAGGAAATGTTAGCAACTGAAATATTCCATGGAAATTTGAGTTTTGACACATCTTTATTGAGGAGCATTTCACTGATAGTATCTTATGCAATCCTTAAAATAACCTCATACAATTGTGAGGCTCAAAATACTGAGGCTCAGAGAAGTTGAACCGTCTGCCCAAAGTCACACAGCTGGGACTTGGAAGGACTGAACTAGGAATCTACAACTTCTGGCTCAGCCCAGGCCCCTTCACACAAAAGCTTCCTGCCTTGGGTCCTCATGCCAGATGGCTCTACTCTGGGGTCTGAATGTTGCCAGATGCTCCTGGCTGACACAGCGAGGAGCAGCCGCCGGCTCCCAGTCCAGCCCTCCATCTGCTAACTGGGAACCGGCCTTGCGGTCATGCTGGGAGCCATTCCCTGACATTATGTTTTGCTGTGGCTCTTGTTTACCCCAGTGAGAACTGTGAGGCGTGGTTCCTGCACAGCAAGGAAAGAGCCGGGGAAGCTCAGGCTGCAGGGCTCAGGAGCCTGCAAGGCAGTGCTGGACAGGGTGGGACTCAGCACCAGCCAGTGCACCTCCGCTCTTCCCTGGCGATCAGGAGAAGAGCCCGTGGGGTGCTGCTGTGAGCAGCCCCAGAGCTGTGTCTTTACTGTGATGCCCACAGGGCACTGGGCTCAGCCCCAGAGCCGGGTCACTCCCCAAGGAGCCAAGCGGCCTGGCCTGGTGAGGAGTAGAGCCCACAGAAGGTACCGCCAGGGACATTCAGCATGAAGACTAACTGTGATGACAGGGCCACGGTAAGACAGAGGTAAACTCCACGTGGCTCCTCAGACGAGGGAGGGGATGGACGGCAGGATGGACTTGGGAGGGGTGCAGACCTCATCGGACAAGGTATGCTCAGCCCATGAGAGCAGACCAGGGGGCTGGTTGGCCTGAGCAGGTCTGGGGCTGCCAAGAATTTCCTGAGTGCAGGGCACAGGTGGACCGAGCGCCTCCCGGGGCCTGGGCATCCAGGAAGTGAGGAGCAGGGCCAGCAGGGCCTTCAGAGCACTGCGGTCCCGAGGGAGTGCTGGCTTCCGTGTGGGAGGGCGGTGGAAAGTCCATGGCCAGGACGAGGCTGCAAGGTCACAGAGGAGCACCTGGGGCAGGGCTCCCTTGCATTCTGCACACAGGGACAACCCCCCACAGCCCAGTGTCCCTCTGGTGTCCTCTCCTGAGATGGGTTGATAGTGCACTTTACACAAGGGCACCTTGACTCTCCCACGGCAGGTGTGAAAAGGCAAGTGTTCAACTGTGAGAAGCAGGCATCCACAACTGGCCGCGCCCACCACAGGTGGACAGGTTCACATCCACAACTGGCCACACCCACCACAGGTGGACAGGTTCACATCCACAACTGGCCACACCCACCACAGGTGGACAGGTTCACATCCACAACTGGCCACGCCCACCACAGGTGGATGGGCTCACATCCACAACTGGCCACACCCACCACAGGTGGACAGGTTCACATCCACAACTGGCCACGCCCACCACAGGTGGATGGGCTCACATCCACAACTGGCCACGCCCACCACAGGTGGACAGGTTCACATCCACAACTGGCCACGCCCACCACAGGTGGATGGGCTCACATCCACAACTGGCCACGCCCACCACAGGTGGACAGGTTCACATCTATAACTGGCCACGCCCACCACAGGTGGACAGGCTCACATCCACAACTGGCCACGCCCACCACGGGGGTGCAAGGGCTCACATCTGCCACAGCTTTGGTTTTATTCCAGCCCCACCAGTGACTAGCTGTGTGACCCTGAGTTACTTAACCCCTTTGAAGCTTGCTTTCCTCATTTGCATTTGGAGATAACAGTGCTCACTTTCAGAACTGTTTTTGTTTGGTTTTGTTATTTTGCATATGGGTATTGAGCCCAGGAGCACTCTACTTCTGAGCTACAGCCCTGCACACCCTGTGCTCCCCTCAACCCTTTTTTTTTTCTCTTTGAGACAAGGTCTAAGTTGCCAGACGGGCCTGGGATGTGCCATGCTCCTGCCTCAGCCTCCTGAGTGGCTGGGATTACAGGCGGGAGCCCCTGGGCCTGGCTTGCTTTCAGGACTGTTACAGGAAATAGAGGAATTAAACAGCAAGCACCTAGCATGTACTGGCTCACAGTAGCACTTAATGAGTGATGGCAACACTGAATCTCATTAGCTGCCGATGGCCATCCCCCAGCCTTGTCCTACTTCCCTGAAAGTCTGAAGCACCACTCTGTCCTCCACCACTGCAGCCTCCTGTGGGAGAGGCTTCCCATGTGCACCCCCTCCCCCTGCAAGTTGGCATTTCTCCTCTCCTGGGACCTACAGCAATACAGACTTCAAGATCTTTGTTTTTAAAAGACAACTTTTGGGGGCTATTTTAGGTTCACAGCAAAATTGAGAGGAAGGTACAGATATTTCCCACATGCATAGCTTCCCCCCTTCCTGCGGACCCCCCTCAGGGATAAAGTTGACAAACCCACACTGACACATAGTTACTAAGACCACAGCTTATGCTTTGGGTGTTGTAACTTCTATGGGTTTTGGACAAACGTAAAATAACGTATCCATCATTAGGGTACCGTGCACAGGAGTACCGTTTCCCCGGAAGCCGGCGTGCAATGTCTATTTACTCCTGCCTGCACCCTGACCTGGAAACCACTATCTTTTTACTGTTTCCATGGTTTGCCTCTCGCTATCTCTCCCCTTCCCCCCAGTCCTGGGGATGGAATTCAGGGCCACTCACAGGCTAGGCAAGCACTCCACATCCCCAGCCCTTGAATTATTACTGTGTGGGGTGTGTGTGTGTCTAGCAATGGGATTGAACTCAGGGGTGCTCTATTACTGAGAGATTCCTCCTGCCTCAGCCTCCCAAGCAGCTGGGATTACGGGCCACAACCCAGCACACAATTGCCTGGGGATCTGTTGGCCTTACTGTACTTGAATCATCAAACCTACAGTTTAAAAAACAGCCACACCTGTTTTAAATGCTCCTTGTGGCCACTGCTTCATCCCTGGAGTCAAGAATTGCTTTGAATCCTAAGCAAAGGTAGGACCCATGGTGACAATGACCAAATGTCTAACCAGGGTCACCCATGTTCTCCCCTTCTCACACCCTCCCCTAGTTCTCACAGGAACCTTGCACACACTCGTCCTTATGCAGTGTGGCCTCAGAAAGAGACAGACATTTCAACTGAGCGTGTGAAGCTTGACATGTTACTAACAACTGCGTATTTCAAAATCACTAGAGAGGATTTTGAATGTTCCCAACACAAAGAAATATTACATGTCTAAGTGGTAGACGTGCCAATTACCATGAGCTGATCTACTGAAATATCACTCTGGACCCCAGTGATACACGTGTCAATTAAAAATAAAAATGTATTTTAAAAATAAAATGATAAGCTGGTTGTGGTGGCACATGCCTGTAATCAGGGCAGGGGGAGCACAAGTTCAAGGCCAGCCTCAGCAGCTTAGCAAGAACCCGTTTTAAAAGAAAAAAAAAGGGATAGGGAGGTAGTGATAAGGCTCCCCTGGGTTCAGTCCCCAGTCACACACATCATACCCCCCAAAAAAATAGAAGAAAGAAAAAATCTGAAGGTTTCTTATAAGATGCTTGTATATGATGAGGAAAACCTAAGTCACAGAGCAAAAAAATGTTTTGATATTCAGATATCTAATTGCTAAGAGCCTTAATATTCCTGAAATCACACATCATATACTCATAAGCCTGCCCTTCTGGTGGAAAGTATTTCAAAAGTGCAAAGTCTTATTTTATTCTGAATATCCAACTCTGTGCTAGGCAGTTTGCTAAGTAATTTAATTGCTATGTAATTAGATAAGCTTTTTAATTGTGGGATTTTTTTTTAAACAGTCACAACAGTGGGGAGAAAAGAATGAGCCCAGGGCAGCTCTGAGCCCCGCCCAACAGTCTTCCCCTGCCTGATCCCCCGCCACACCCCGGCCTCATCTTAAAGCAGATCTCCAACGAGGAATCTGGGGAGCCTAACTAAATGCTCTCCTCCACAGTCGATCCCTGGCCCGTTTCTTCTCATGGTACCGCCTGACTCTCTCTTAATACAGCTTCTCAGTGGAACTTGGACACTCTGGCCTTCCAGGAACTGAAGTCGGAGTTAACCAAGGTTCCGGCTTCCCAGATCTTGGAGAGTCCCTCTGGCCGTCCCAGGAGTGACGATAACGGTATGAAGTTGGGTGTCTTCCCTGCTGAGCCCACGTGGCCTCTGTCATGTCTAGTTCTGTGTTCAGATTTGGAGAGTAAATGCCATCAGGAGTGACCTCCCTGGGAGCAGAGACAGGGAGGGACTGAGGACAAGAACCCACTCTTTCCTCTTGCCAGGGCAGGTCCTCAGGGAGGCAGCCTTTCCCAGAAGAGTCTATCTCCTGCCACCTACCCTGGAAGGCAGCTGGGCTGCACCGGGGGAAGATGAGCAAGGCCTATTTAGCCCACTTGGTCATTGCATTGAATTAACTGCACCTGGGAAGTCACAAGCCTCAGTAGCTCCTTCACACCCTTAACCTGAGGGCCAGGTAGCTGCCCTGTCCCATCTAGCACTTTCTGTTAGTAAAGGTATTTCTGCTGAACTTCAGCCACCTAGGAAAAGCACAATTGCCCCTCTTCAAAGTGTTCCCCAAAGGAATGATTTCTAGAAGCTTTGCTTGTGTCACTTACAATTACTGTGAGCACTGAAGGGCACCCATGGAGATGGGGTAATGAAATATTCAAAGCATGATTCAGTAAATGGTACCTACCTTCTGTGTCGACATAGAAGGTGCCCGCTAAAGCACAGAAATCTTTTGATTCTGCTAAATCTAAATTTTCAATTTTTTTTAAAGTGCTGGGGATTGAACTAGGTTTGAGGTTTTTTCTTAAAAGATACTCGCATATGACAAGGAAGACCTCTAAGTCCACAGCAAATTTTTTTTTAATATTCAGATATCTAATTGCTAAGAGCCTTAATAAGGTGGGGAATGTGCTCCACTTCCAGCCTTCTTTTATTTATTCATTTTAATTTATTTGTCACCCCCAGCCCTCTTGATTTTTGATTGAGACAAGGTCTCGCCAAGTTGCCAAGGCTGACCTTCCTGGGCCTCCTGAAGAGCTGGAATTACAGGTGTCCACCACCAGGCCTAACTAGAAGTTATTCTTATAAGGAATTCATTTTCACTCTTTTAAAATAACTTGAAAGTCATGGGAAGTAATCTAATGAACACTCCGGGTCCCTGCCAAGCTCGAGTGTTGCAGATGTGGTTGAAGCTGTCTAAGGCCTCCCCCTTGACGACTGGGAGGAGTAGGAATCCCTTCCCACGACAGACCCACCGCACGTTTGCTGTGCATGTTCTCTATACCTACACCTAACATGTCTAATCACATCTCAAACTTGGAACAGCCCTGCTACCCAAAACAGTACTGCTGCCCCCCGTTGCCTGGGAAGGCTGAGGTGTGCAGAGCTGAGGACCTTATTGAAAGTCAGGCCTATCTGCAGCCAAACCCAGATTTAAGCCCAGACAGACAGCTGGTCCTGGGGCCCCTACTTCTGCCTGCTCTGCTGCTTCCACTCTGTCACTGTCTGTATTTGGAGAGCTGATAATACGAGGTGCCTTTTTTAATTTTTTTTTATTTTTTAAATCCATCAGGCTGTGGAGAACTGGTTTGGGTAGGAGAGCCTGTCACCCTGAGGACCGCAGAAACAATCACCGGCAAGTATGGAGTGTGGATGAGAGACCCCAGGCCGGCCTTCCCGTACACACGGGAGACCACGTGGAGGATCGACACGGTGGGCACAGACATCCACCAGGTCTTTGAGTACAGCCTCATCAGCCAGTTCGTGCAGGGTTACCCCTCCAAGGTGCATGTGCTGCCCCGGGCGCTGGAGAGCACTGGAGCCGTGGTGTATGGGGGGAGCCTCTATTTCCAGGGGGCCAAGTCCAGAACCGTGATCAGGTACGAGCTGAACACCGAGGCAGTGAAGGCGGAGAAGGACATCCCGGGGGCCGGCTACCACGGACAGTTCCCATACTCGTGGGGCGGCTACACAGACATTGACTTGGCTGTGGATGAGACGGGCCTGTGGGTCATCTACAGCACCGAGGAGGCCAAAGGAGCCATCGTCCTCTCCAAACTGAACCCGGAGAGCCTGGAACTTGAACAGACCTGGGAGACCAACATCCGTAAGCAGTCAGTCGCCAACGCCTTCATCATCTGCGGCACCTTGTACACGGTCAGCAGCTACTCCTCAGCCGAAGCCACTGTCAACTTTGCTTATGACACGGGCACAGGGGTCAGTAAGACCCTGACCATCCCATTCAAGAACCGCTACAAGTACAGCAGCATGATCGATTACAACCCTCTGGAGAGGAAGCTCTTTGCCTGGGACAACTTCAACATGGTGACCTATGACATCAAGCTCTCCAAGATGTGAGGAGCCCCCAGCCCTACCAGCAAAGGCAGGAGGAGATAATGCTCAGGGCTCCAGAGGAGTGTGGGCTGCTGGGACAGCCATCCATGCAGAGCCAGCACTTATCCTGCTCCCTCGATGCAGGAGACCGCGTGAGCCACCAGGGCAGGCAGGGTAGCCATCTGAGGGCTGAGACAACTTTGTAGTAGGATAGATATTCTTTTCTTCTGTCAGCTTTTAAAAGGGATGCTTGTCCAAGATAGTTCAAGGTTTCTGTAGATTTGGGGCAAGAGCTCAAAGGCTTGGTATTTTCTTCATAAAACCATTAATCTTTCAAGTTGCACGGCTCCCTAAGCCATGATAAAAGCAGCACTTCTAAAGGAAGAAAAATAGCCCCGTGGCCTGCACTGAACTTACGCAAGAAGTATTTACTACCACTGGCTTCTAATACTTCAGGAAGAATTCAGTTGTGTATTCTACAACCCCTTGCCTTGGAAAATAAAATGATCATATATGCCATCAACTTCCCTGAACTTTGTGAGAATCTTTGCCTAAGAGAAGCAGATAATTCCTTTGGGCTGGGAGATGTGACTGTAAAGTGCCGGGTGTGTGTGTGTGAGTGTGTGCGTGTAACCAGGAGGCTTGTGCTTGGTTTCAAGGCTGCGCCCAGATGGCACCAGGCACACAGTGGAATCCACGCCTCCATCTCTTGGTGTTCCTGGCCCTTCCTAAAGCATATTCCATTTCTCCCTCAACTCAGCCTCTCTGGACCCTAGGTCCCCTTTGGTTCTTATCTGTTGTCCTAGGTATCAATTGTATAAGCCACAACCTCAGGTGAGCAAACCTCCAAGTAGTTTTCTCCAATTCTTAAAATTTTGATAAAATGCACATAACAACGCTTACCATCTTGACCATTTGAGTGCATGGTTCAGTGGTATTAAGTACATACGACGAGTTGTTCAACCATCGCCCCATCTATGTTCAGAACTCTTTCACCTTATAAAACTGAAACTCATACCTGTTAAGTAATAACTCCCAGCCAGGCGCGGCGGCCCATGCCTGTGATCCTAGTGGCTCAGGAGGCTGAGACAGGAGAATCGTGAGTTCAAAGCCGGCAGCCATGGGGAGGCGAGGTGCTCAGCAACTCAGTGAGACGTTCTCAAATCTGGCTGACTCCCAGGACTGGAGAGGAGCTCAGTGGAAGAGCACTTGCCTGGCATGAGCAAGGCCCTGGGTTCAGTCCCCAACGCCACAAAAGTGGAACCAAAAAACTCCCCATTCTCTATGGAATTACTTTTTATTTTTAATTTTTTTTAGTTATAGATGGTTACAATATCTTTAATTTGCTTATTTGTATCTTCCTGTGGTGCTGAGGATCGAACCCAGTGCCTCACATGTGCAAGGCGACCGCTCTGCCACCGAGAGACAGCCCTGGAATCACGTTTTAGTAACTGAACTTACTTTCCACAGTTGCTGCTGTGTCGCTTCAGCATGTTGTCACTCATTTCAGGGCTTTCTGTGCTGAGGGCACCGAGTAGTGAGAACGCAGGCAGAGCTGCCCACACCTGGTTGCACCATCTGTGTGGGTTCCAGCCCTTGCTGCTGACATCGCGACTCACACGAAGAGAGCCAGGCCTGTCAAGGTATATTGCTTTTCCTGGCCTGCTGCGTGTCCCGCTGGCATACGGGGACATTTGAGGAGTTGCCCTGTGCCATAGGAACACAGGTCCACCTCTGCTCTTCTGCTGGTGCTGGGCCACTGCTCCTGGAGATTTGCCACCTAGACCCCAAGCTCCCCCGGGAAGCTGCACCAGTCCCCTCTGCTCTCAGGTGCCCCAAACCGTGGGAGCTCCCCAGAATCCAGGCTCTGTCTCTGACATTCCTCGCTTCCCCAGACTTTATTCACACTGCAGGGGTGGGACAGCCCTTCTTGGCCTTCTAAGAGAACCAGCTCATGAGGCCATAGCTCAGCTTTAAAGAGATTCTCCCGCCCGTGAGTTGCGAGGACCGTCTGTGAAAAGCAAAGCCAGGGCTCGACTTCTCTTTTCCATTGGCCATTGATTCTCATTGAGGCTACCCTTGTATGAACCAGGAGGAGGAGGACAAGACCACAGACGCCTCTCCACTGCGTCTCCGTGGCCTGGGGCTGCCGTGAACACCACAGCCTGGGGGCCTCAGAAACAGACGTTGGTTTTCCTGCGACTCGGTAGGCGGGAAACCCGAGTCAAGGTGTCAGCAGGATGGGCTTCTTCCAAGGTCCCTCTCCTCGGTGGGCAGAGGGTCTTCCCCCTGTTTTCACACAGTCCTCCCTGTGAACTCGTCCCAATCTCCTCTTGTGATAAGGGCGGCAGTCATATTAGGCTGTGGCCCACCCTGGTGACCTCGTATTGATTTAATTATCTCTTTAAAGGCCAGATCTCCAAAGCAGGCCGCACTCTACAGTACAGGTTTTCTACTCTTATCTGAAACACTCAGGACCTAAAGTGTTTTGAATTGGGGGTTTTTCAGGTTCTGTGGTATTTGCAGACCCATGAGGACATGTCTTGGGACTGGACCCAGATCTACACCTGAAATTGACTTAAGTTTTCATCCACCTTTGCACATAGCCTGAAGGAGATTTCTTGCGACACTTTCAATGTGGCCCCTTTTGAACGACTTCACAGGAGGTCAGGTGATAAATCATGTGTCTCCTGGGCCATCACACAAGCACCTGAAAGTTTCGGATTTTGGACTATTTCTGATTTTGGATTTAGGATGTTCAACTGGCATTAGGATTAAGACTTTAACCTAGTACAAGTGAGCCCCTAACAGCTTCCTGTCCCTGCCGTAGTCCGGCTGGGCAAAATAACCGAGAGGTGACAAGCAACTTGAAGGTTGAAGCAGGAACTACTTTATTGCGAGTGAACTCAGCAGGAACTGAGAACTCAAAGGAGCGGGCACCCAAGGTAGCAGGAGCCGCTTCTCTGCCGGACCGCAGAGGTATATATGCTTAACTAATTACACACAGCTTAACTTAATTAACATCATCTAGATACAGCAGTCAGCCAATAAGGAATCCTCATCATCTTAATGGCTCGCTGGCGTTGCTTCACAAACCTCTCCTCCTGGCAAAGTGCCAGCGCCATCTTGACTTGGTTGTGGCCCTCAACATGTCCCCACTCTCACTCATGGACGAGACTCTCGAAACAAGGGAGCCCAGAGGTCAGCACGCAGGGCTTCATCCACCTGCTGAGCACCGTCAGCTGCCAGGTGTGCGGTGGGAAGCGGCAGGTGAGGAGGCACAGCTCCCCATCAGCCGTGTTTCTGGCTTCGGGACAGAGAAGGTGACGGAAGGAAGAACAGAGGGAAGAAGGAGACTCCTTCCCTACCTTCCGGGGCTGGATGCTCCTGCACCCTCGTTTCTTTTGCTGGCTCCTCCTTCTAACCCCAACCTCTGAGGTGGAAGTACCCCAGGGCTCAATGCAGGGGCTCCTCTGTCCTCATCCTCTGGCAACGTCATCTACTCTCAAGGCTTCAAGTGCCATGTCCATGCTGATGGCTGCACCCAGCACTAATCTCTCCAGCACAGTCCTTACCCCAAACTCCAGATTCACGTATTCATTTGCCCAGTGACATCTCTACTTAGGTGGCTGCTGGGCTTATCAAACTAGCAAAACTTGAACTTCTGAGTCCTCTCTGCCCTGCTCCACACATCGAGTCTGCTCTGCCTGGAGCTGGTGGCCCTCTGTCCCCACAGTTGCACAAGCCAATAATCTCGGGGTTGTCCTTTATCCCTCTCTAACTCCCCACATTCCATGGATCAGCGACTCGATTGGCTCTTTCAAATACAACAGATCCAGAATCTGGTCTCCTTTCTCATTGCCCCAACTGCCACTGGTCCCAATGCCATCTTGTTCCTGGATCATGATGGTAGCACCCAAACCGCCTCCTCTCCCCTCACCAGCACCACCTCTTACCCCGACTGCGGCCAGAAAACTCCATTAGGAAGCAAGCCAGCCGTGCCCTCTGTTCCCTGGAAACCCTCGCGGCTTCCCGTCTCCCAGGCAAAGACAGAGCCCTTACCAAGCCACAGCACCACCACCTTTCCCACAGGGTGACCGCATCTTCTGCCCACGTCCCGTCACTCTACTCCAGCCAAGCCCAGTGGCCTCCTGGCTCTCCCTCAAATGCACCCGGCACACTGTGTCCTCCAAACTGTGGCTCCAGATCCTCCCTCTCCCCAGACGTCCACACAGCTGACTCCATCACTGGCTGCAAGTCTTTGCTCAGATGCCACCTTCCTAGACAGGGTCACCCAGACCCTGTTTAAAATTGTAGGCAACCTATTGTTTCCTGGGTACTTCTAATTCCTCCTACCCCGTTTTATTATTTTAAAATTTATTTTCCATTATACTCACTCATCACTTCCTCAAGTATGGTATAGTTCATGTTTTTAGGTTGTGTGTATATGTGTGTATTTTGGTGGGGGGTGGTACTGGGGATTGAACACAGGGATGCTTTGCCACTGAGCTACAATATGAGACAGGGGGTCACCAATTGCTTAGGGCCTAAGCTGCTGAGGCTGACCTCAAACTTGAGATCCTCCTGCGTCAGCCTCCCAAGTCACTGGGATTACAGGCATGCGCCACCGTGCCCAGCACATTTTTTGCTAGTCTTCCTCCACTGGAAGACTATTCCCCTGAGGCGGGGATTGATCATTCTGTACAACAAAATATCCCTAGTGCATACGACTCCTATGGTGGGTCCTCAACAATGCTTGTTAGACAGATGAACAGAAAGAACATCCTGGAGCTTGCTTAGAAATAGAACGAGGAATAAAACCAGCACAAGAGCTTCTTCCCTTGATTCTATTCTTCACTGGCTGTGGCCTTGCAGGGCTTGACCTCTGTCCTAGACTGTCACATTCTACATCTGACATCCAGCAGGGTGGCCACCAGCTCTGTAGCTACTGAGGACTTGTGAAGTGAACTGTGCGGCCGAGGGACTGAATTGTTGTTTGCCGCTGCTTTGGCACGTGCTGGATAAACCCAGGGCCTCGGGCATTTTAGGCGAGTTCCCTGCCACTGTACCCACCAGCCTGAGGTTTTTTAAATCTTATTTAATTTTAATGAACTTAAATCGAAGCAGCCATTCATGGCTAGCTGCCATCCTGTGGACAGTGCCGGTCAGCTTCCTCGTCTGACTGAGGCCATAGCATGAGTACCTGCCTGGTGATGACAGGGGTCGGTGCACACCTGCTCTGTTGCCGATGTCCGCAGAGGCCTGCTGACCATGTGGTTGGAGGACCAGGGCACCTGGGTAAGGCCAGGTCTGCAGAGCACACCCACAAGGACTCCAGGAGGATGTGGATAAAGTAAAGGATGGCACGGAAGGATTTTTCCTATGTGCATCTGAATTATCCCCCTTCCCAGGCCTTCCAACCATTCAGAGTGCCCTAGAAATCCTTCAGGGTGCCCTGGGGTCTGCCAAGAGACTTGAGCAGGGGACCCACTAAATCATCCACACTTGGCCGCTTGGCAGAGTGGGCTTCTGGTACAGAGTCTTTTAACCTCCTAGAAGTAAACTTTGAAACTGCTATTTTTCAAAGTCAACCACCCTACACCCTTAGTTCCTCTAGCATGGAAGGGCCACACAGCGGTGGTGTCCGGCCTGAGTTCTGAAAACCCAAACACCCCCGGGTTCTCTGGACCTTTAGAGTCAACACAGCAAAAATTGAACCCCAGATCTGCACATGTGATGTCAGAGACTCAGCTTGAAACGAAATCCCTCTCACCATTAGCTGTGGAAAGCAGAGCTCAACAGAGGTTCTGGGGAAAGAAAAAGAGGAAAGAAGATTCTAAGACAGCTGTCAAGGACAAACTCAGGAACGCCACTGACACTGTTTGCTGGGGTTTTATGTAAGAATCTACCACAAAATAACTTAAGTCGTACTTGGTTGGGAGATGGGATCCTCGGCTGGAGAAGGAGGCGGGGCAGGGGGTACTGTGAGGTAGGTCTTTCTGGGAGGAGGCGTTTGTTCTGTGCCCACATGGGAGAGCGACTCCCCAGCTTCATAGCCTTTCTTGGTAACCACGTCTTCTCTAGAAGGAAAGACACATCAAATAGCCAGATGAGAGGCTAGTTCAAGTTCAAGGCCAGCCTGGGCAACTTGGAAAGACCCTGAGCAATTTAGAGACCCCGTCTCAACCTAAAATATAAAAAAGGCTGGGGATGAAGCTCAGTGGTAGAGCACCCCTGGGTTCAATCCCCAGTACCCAAAAGAGGAAGATTTTCAAATACAGATAGGATGAAAAAAAAGAGAGAATTACACACCCAGATGTCGGTACCTGAAGAGGACCAGGTAACATTTTAGGGGACTTTCTCCCACTCCTCTGTCACCATCCTCTTGCAAAAACAAGACGCACTCTATTTAATTCTGAGTCAGCTCTTCTCACAGTGAGCTCAACCGTCTCCCTTGGTCCGACAGAACCAGTGGAGCTGGGATCCAGGCTCCCCACCCCTGGGGTCGCCTCCCCAGCGGGGCTCTCCCACTATTCCCCACCCCCACCCCACAGCAAGCCAGAGGAGAGCCTCAGGTACCTCCTGTCCATGGTGACTCTGCGCCTGGTCACCTCGGAGGCCAGGTCTCTGTAGGGAAGTTCAATGCTGGGGTCCACAGGGCTCTTCTGAGCCATGGTGTGCCCTCGGAGCACTGGAGGAGTCAGATGCCCGCACCTGTGTAGCTGAACCCCAAGCATCAGAAATAGGATTCAGGTGTCAGGGGAATGCTCCAGTTCCATCCAGCATGGCTTGCAGAGGACTGTCACATTCTCGGGAGTCTTCCCTCTCCCCACCTGGTCAGGAGGCCCAGAGACTACCTGACTCTCCCCAGACTGCACAGCAGGCCGGTCTGCTGCCTCCCTCTGATGGTGCCACTGCAGCTGGGCCCTCCCCGCTCAGGGCTCTTGGTACCTGCAGAGCTTTCTTCTCAGAGCCCTGAGCTTCCACAGGACAGGAGAGGAACTGGGACAGCAGGGGATGGGGGCCAGTCCCCTTACCCAAACAGGCACGTGTGGCTCCATTTAAGAAGAAAAGGCCGTCGCCCGTAAGTGCCGCCATGGGACATCTCTCCTTGTATCAGGACTCCCGTGAGACCAATGGGGAACTAAGCAGCAGAGAAATCAGGCAGCTCCCGCAGAAGGCACAGAGCCGGAATCTGATCCCGGGTCTCTCTGCTTCAAGGACTTTGCTCTCTCCACAGCAGAGCCAAGCAACCCTCAAGTGCTACCTCAGGACCAAGCCTTCTCCAAAGAAATGGGGATGCGTCCCCGTGCCTGCTCACTGGGTCACACTGTCCCTGTTGGAGCATGAACTACAGTGGTCTGAGTGCACCAGCTGAATCTTCTGACTGGAAAATTCTTTCTCATCAGGACGCCCCAGGGACTTACCTTTCGATCCCAGGTCAGCTTAGGGTACAGCCTCTTTCACCCTTCAGCTCCTGGTTTGGCCAAGAAACACCCTCAGTACACTCTGAACCACACAGAAGGTGGAGCTCCTCCACTCCCCAGAGAGAAAGACAAGGCAACCTCCAACACCTCTTCCTCTCTTTTATCCTGCTAGAGTCAGCCTCTCCCAGGAACTGGCGTTAATGGGATTGATCTGCGCCTTCAGAAGGCAGCAGCTGATAGGAATCATCCTGCCAACTGTGGCCTTGGGAAATCCCCACAGAGCCACAGAAGTTGGGTCTCCAGTGTGAGCAAGAGAAGGAAGCACTCTGTCACTTGGGCAAGGGACAGCGCTGCTTAGACTCTAGTGGACATGACGTCTGGACCTGTGTCTGCTGATTGCCCCTCTCCCAGAGCCATCGTGCTCACCCATGTCCCCCTGTCCTGAAGACGCTGCAGAGCTGCTTAGAGGGCAGCTGTTTGGGCTTTGGAATCAAAGGAGTGGATCGCGTAGCTCCTGCTTTTGAGTTAAATCATCCTGGGCAAGCAAATTGAACGTCGGTGAGGTGATTTTCTTATCTGTAAGAGAATCTTTCTTCTAGGGTAATTGTAAAAATTGAGAAGATATTTGCAGAAATTCCTAATTGTGTCTCTTTTCCATTTGTGCTTATTCAAAAGCGAGTTTGAATATATGCATTTAGCTCAGGAATGACTATAAATATATAGGTACAAGTACAGGTTTTCCCCCTCCTCTACAGCCAGGAGTGGGCCTGGTCCTCCCAAGCCCAGTTTTATACATTTTGAAAGCAGGAGCCCACTTACTCCTCCCCTACCACCCCCGGCAGCTCTGTCCTCCCACCTGTTTCCTTCAGCCACAGGATTCCCAAAGTCTCTAAGTTGTGAGGAGTTTTCAAAGCATAGACAAATTTTTGCAGATGTGAGAAGCAATTATGATTTGCATATTTCCAGACTGCTGATTTCTTCAAGTTGTGTGTGTGTGTGCCTGCGAGTGTGTGTGTGCATGCGAGTGTGTGCGTGTGAGTGTGTGTTGCTGTTACTGCTCAGGGCTTTGGAGAAGGAAGCCTCAGGTTGGCTTCAGGTTGGTAGTTCAGCTCTACTCCACCTCAAGGGATCAGCGGCAACCCAAGCCAGGGAAGTGCACTTCCTCCACACCATCCATCCTCTAGGACGTGTGCTACTCCTCAGAAGCACGTTCCTGATGCTGACCTGCAAACGTGGCGTTCACATTTCATGAAGGCGAGGCTCTGGCCACAAAGCAGAGCATCTGCTTTTCCCACTGACATAAAGAAACCAGTCAGAGGGCCTTGCTGCTGGGGACAGCACGCTGGCCTTCAAAACAAGGCTCGCTGGACACCATCGTCCAGCAGTTTAATAACCGTGCTCTTCTCACAACACACGTGGGTAAAACAAAACCAGAACCGTCTGCTGCACCCACAACAGAAAACAGTCAACCTCAAGAGGCTGCGGCCAACACTCAAACAGGGGCACGGAAACTTCTCTCTTCCATTCTCTCAAGTTGCTTGGAAAATACACGCAGACCTCGGGAGACAGCGGCTTGCTGTTGAGTGTACTCCTGGCAAAAGAGGAGACAGGGTTCTTCCAGAGAGAAGAGGGGGTGTCCCTATGGGCCAGAGGTGCCCCTAGGGACTGCAGTCTTGTCACCCAGTAAAACTTCGCGGCTCTAGCGCTCGACTGTGAACTCCCATTATTCAGTCATCCCCAGTCTCTGAGAGGCCCGTAAGGCCGAGAGAGTTCTTTTTAGACACATATGCATAATGGCTAGCAGGGCAATCAGCACCACCAACACAGGCCTTCAGGACCTCAAGTGTCCCCTCAGCAACGGGACCCACTGGTGAGCAGCTGAACGTGCTTGGCCAAATGCCGGCCTCAGTTCGGTTTCCTGTCCTCCTGCTCAGGGCTGGTACCTGTGCAGCTGTGTGTGGCTGGAGAGGAACATGCACCTGGAGGACTAGTTTCCCTTTCAATTCACGGCTGCACTCTGGGTGGGAGCTGGCCCTAGGCCTGGACGGCGTCTCCGCATTCCTCGGCCCCCCGACACCTGCTGGCTCTCATTCCTAGCTGAGGACCCTGAATCCAGCACAGGGAGCGTCCACATCCCGCACATCCTCCCAGCTTGCGAGTCCCCATTGCCTCCCGTTGCTGAGCTGGCCCTGGGGCTCTGAACCCCATTCCCTCTCATCAGCCTTCATTCCTGCAGCTCTCTCTCCACTACCAAATTGGGTCTTTCTCATCAGTGTACCACAGGTTGGTTTTCCCACCCCAAACCCTCCTTGACCTCCTCTCCTGCTGTTTTGAACTGGAGATCGAACCCAAGGGCCACATCCCCAGCTGGGTCAGCTGAGGCAGGCGAAGGACTGCTGGAGAAGGGGCTGCCAGTGCCCGCTGGGGTAGGTATGCCCATCTGTGTGGACGGACTGGACCCCGGGCACAGTCCACCTGGGGTGGCTACAGGAACGCTCTCCTCTGACACGGCCCAGCAAGGACCTGAAAGACAGTGCTCCCGTGCGCTCCCATGGTCCTTGGAAGCATGGGGTAAGTGAAGTAGGATTCCACCGCCGATGGTGGACAGGGAGACCCGAGGCTCGGAAATGGGCGTCCGGACTGGACGTGCTGCGCGAGGGCGAAGGTCACCGACTGTGTGTTCTGAGGGCGAGCCCGAGGGGGACGCTCCCTTCACCCAGGGGACAAGGAATACACTGCTACAAGGGGCCCTGGTGTCCCTGGGGGGCTTGGGTAGCTGTCCTCAGTGGCAGGGGCTGCTCGTGGGAGGTGCTCTGATGGGAACTGGCCCCACACACGGCAGCAGCACTGTGAGCGAGTGCAGCAAGGGACGAGAAGGAGCTCGGTGACCAGGGACACACGGTGAGCAGGACTACCGGCCAGCAGAGGGCCAGAGTGGTGAGGGCGGGGGCTGGCGTGGCTCCCAGGAGCCATGAGCAGGCAACAAGCAGAGTCTGGCCTCCGTGTCAGTGACGGATGAAGAGGTCCAGGGCACACACCTCCACCAGAAGCCATGATCTCTAGCCTCAGTTTCTGACTAAAAGCAACCGGGTCCCCAGGAGGATGGATCATATAACATCATGGCAGATGTACAGTCAGGATTCTCCATGGGGACCTTAGGCCATCTGCTCCAGTCACCATGTGCTGGACACAGGGAGATCCATGCATTTTGGAGAGTGTTGGACAGAGGATTCAAGACGATATCAACATGGCTGTGGGTGTAGCTCAGTAGTTGAGCACTTGCCTCGCAAGGCTCTCAGATCAATCCCCAGCACTGCAGAAAAACAAGACCCCAAACCCAACCCAACACTGTGGGGCTCAGAGCTGAAAGCACAGGGAGGCCAGGACACCCAGCTCTGCCTCACAGGGGTCCACCTGGCCTGTGATGCACCCAGTCAGTGGTCATTTCCCTTCTCTTTGGATGTATAATGGGAATGAACATACTTGGAAGTCAACAGTATTCCACACAGATCATTGGCCAGTAGGAGCTATTTTTAGCAAGGAAGCTAAGTTGCTAAGTAAAAGTCCTTGAAATCGCCCGCCCAGTCAAGGTAGTAAATAAAATATTATGTGGTGGGTGAGACAGGCCTCCATTAGTGCCCACCTTAGAAAAGTAAAGGATGTATGGACAGCAGTTCCTATAATATCCCTATTTAATTGGCTTTTCTGGCCCCTAGAAGAACCAGAGTGAAGTCTGTTGCAAATGCAACCAAAGTGAAGCCTCAGTTGTAGGTGCTGAGCCAGGAGTGATATATCTGTTAGAGCAAATTAGTGTGGGGGTATCCCCAAGTGACCTTTTAGGGATCCAATAGTTGGGGCATGATGCTCCATCTCAACAGACTGTCCCTTGTACCTTCACCTGTAAGAAGGAAGCACAATTCCTGGTGGGCCTCTTTGGATTTGGAGGTAGCATTTTCCTGCTTGGGAATAATGCGCCAACCCATATACTGAGTGAGTGACACAAAAGTATGCTAACCTGGAGCAGGTTCTAGAGCAGGAAATGACCACACAGGTCCAGACTGTGGGGCCGCTTGTCCACTTGCTGGAGGTTAACTAGAGGACATGCTGTCGGAGGTTTTGATGATGGAAAAGGTGTGTTGTGAAAAGTGCCAACAGGGAGACTATGTGCAAGTCCATCTGATGATGGAGCTTTAGACAGGGTTCCTGAACAGGTCATCTGAACCTGGGGTGGGCAGTGACAGAGCCGCCAGCACAACCCATTTTGCATGATTCTGTTAGATTCACAAGACTGTGCATAAGGAGGGCTGGAGACTCCCATGTCACTACTACTCTTGAACAAGCATCTGTCCCCCAGCTCATCGGGGTCTCTTAGAGTCAGCTTAAAGAGAAGGGAAAAAACTCAGTGTGTGGGTGCAAGCCAGAATTGGACAGCTTCTCCAATTCTCAGGTTGGCCTTGAATGAGAGCCACAAGGTCAAGCTCCTAAGTCAGTTTCAGGTTACACATTTGGTCATCTGCTTCATGTGGAAAGAGAAGTAGCCCAAGGTAAGAACATATGCAAACTCATGAGCAGTAACAGGGCCTTAGAGGGAAGACTGGAAGACCACCCAATTGCTTGATGATTAGACTTGACATGTATCTGACACATGGGTTACATACAGTAGCCCTACGTAATAGGGCAGGACCTACCTCAGCCTGCAGCACTAGAAAAAGGCTCACAGTGTCCTGTCCTCATGGGATCCTGAATAATATCTCACTGGACCACGGAGCATATATCACATCAAAAAAGATGTGGTAGTTATACATTACCAAGGGACCCAGTGGGCCTATCACATTCTGTACTATCTAGCTGCCAACCTGATGGCATATTGATATGGCCTTTGAAGATAAAATTGAGACGCCAACTTGGAATTATACCCTGTAAAGATGGTGTGGAGGCAGTCTCTAAGTCTCTGGCCTCCTGTCATTCATATCTGCATAATCTCCTCGAGTGGGGAGTCACTGACTGCCAACTAAGGAACTGAATAAGGCAGAAGTGATAGGATGTCACTTCTGACACTAAGTTAGTAATCACTGTGACTTCTGTCTCGCATGTCTAGATTGGAAACCAGCTGCTAGAATGCCAGGCAGCCCCATGGAGTCACGTGTGGAGAGCTAGTTGTAAGGTCAGGCACCGGTGATCCAAAGGAGGCAGATGGAAGCCGCTGAACGAGGCTTTACTGAGATTCGCTCCCAGAGGAGCTCAGGGGGAATCGCACCTAGGCTTGGCCGGATGGGAATTTTATTGGGTTTAGGGCAGGGAGGGCTTGGGACAGGAAAGGGAGGTTTTTAGAGTCCCTTGTCCTCCTGGGGTTGGTTGGGGGGAACTTGCTGAGATCTGATTCCTTCCAGGATTGGTTAGGAGACCTCACTGATTGACAGGCACCATCACTGCTTGTCTGCCAGAGCCTGATTGGTTGTTTTTTCGGGCGCAGGTAGCTTGGTGCTTTGTTCCCTTAGCCACCTCAAGCCGACCTAACACTACTGGGCCACAAGCATATGGTGACATTGGAGGACAATTTCCCCCATTTGAGCCTTACAATGAGACCGCAGACTTGGTCAACTGCTGGACAATGAAATCCGTCTGGAGGGCCTTGAGCCCTAGGCACCAGCTGAGCTGCATATACTCTTGGCTTGGCCCACAGACACTGAGATGCTTGCAGGAACTATTGTTTTGGGGTTATTTGTTACACAGCAACAGATAATTAATAACCGATTGCCCTTCCAAGAACCAAGGGTGGAATTAAGCATCTTACTCACTCAGGAAACGTCTTTCATCCCTGCCAACTCTGGGCATTGGGTTGGGGCTCTTGTTCACAGAGGAAAGACAACCATCAGAGACAAAGGAGGAAGGAGCTATTGCTTCTTCCTGGTCACCTCGGCCTTATCTTGCCAAGAGACCAACAGGAAAGGAAAGAAGTTATAAAGCAGAAGGAGCTGGCTCCAGGAGTTGGGAGATAGCTTTTATACAGAGGATCTAGAGAGCGCATTGACCTCAGGGCCTCAGGCCTTACTTGGAGCAAGGGCAGAACCTGGGTCAGCCTGCTAGTCCAGAGGTGCTGGCTGAGGGCGAGGGACATCTAGAAGGAGCAGGAGAGAGTATCGGCTGTGTGGCCTAGTGACAGTTGCAATGGCAGGTTTACCTTTACCTACTTTATCAGGTAGAGAGCAACCAATGGAGCAGCTACTGCCAAACCTTATCCCAGGAAGCCAGCATGTCTGAGCAGTCAAGGGAGGAGCACAGTGGAGAGTGGGGACTCATTTTGAACCAAGAACTTGCTTTTTCCAACTGCTGGGAGTATTAGCTCAGATTGCCTCTGGCAATTTCCTCCTCTCCCACCCCAGGGCAATAACTGGAGGTGAGAGCCTAAGTCCCTTTTTCAAGGCCTGATGATTCGGAGGGCCATCATTTCTCTAGAAATTCTCTTTGAGACAGGGGCCTCTGCTGCTTGGGCATCTCAATATAACTGCTCCCTCTGCCCATTCCTTTTACTCCTCCACAAGTGTGGATCCCAAGGGCAGGTCACATCTCTTCTGCAGAATCTTGTGGAACCTAAGACAAACAACGCATAGACCACTATCTGTGGTCAAGGAATGCCATCCTATCTTTAACTCACATGGAGGGAGGTTCAGGAAATACCAGAGTTGTGTAGGTGTTTAAAGAAAAAAAAAAAAGGTCAGGGACAACCCAGAGTTAAATTTGGGTATAAGCCAGCATTTAGAAAAGAATTAAAAACAGAAAAGGGTGTTAATGGTCTCAATTTTTTTTTTTTTTAAGAATCACTTCTGAAGTTAAGTCTTATGTGGTCCCTCAACACAGAGATGGATTTTATTTTACTGTGAAATCAAATTATATCAAATTATATAATTTCAAATTATATCCCTCAGTATAATTTGAAGTGGGAAAGAGAAGCGGTAATGTAAATCTCATACTTACAGCAGCTATTCAACTCCAGGGAATCCAGGGCCCTGAAGAGCTCTGTAGTTAGCCAGGCAGTTAAGTTCATCACATTTCCAGACACCAGGCATGGCAGGCTTTTGTGGGGCAGTGCTGCAGACCCACCTCAGCCTCCTGCATGCCAGGCAGGTGCTTTCCCATTGTACCACTCTGTGGCCCAGGCATGGTTCATGTTTTTTTTTTTTTTTAATATTTTTTAGTTGTAGTTTGACACAATACCTTTATTTATTTATTTTTATGTGGTGCTGAGGATCAAGCCCTCACGTGTGCTAGGAGAGCTCTACCCTTGAGCCCCAGCCCCAGCCCATGTATGTTTTTAAACCTCCTGAGACAGAAACATCCTTCTAGGGGCTGAGTGATTTCTCCTTAGTCGTTCACCAGGCACCTGCAAGCCCAGCACTCTCACCGCGGTTTATTCAGTCGGAAGCGCTTGTGATGGCGACTCAGACTGCCCGGACCAGCGCTTCCTCTTGCCCTCTGTGCGCTGCTGGGCGTGGGAAGGTGAGGGCAGCTGCCATGTGTCCACCAGGGCAGCGCTTGCTCCGTGGTTTCCAGGTGTTTGCTCCTTTAATGCAGGAGCAGCTGGGGAAGCACACGGTGACTGCAGCATCTCCACGGGCTCCAGTTTCCTGAGACCTCTGGCTGACACGAACTTGGGAGAAAGCCTTTGTAGCGAGGGGTGTGAACTTAGGGAGAACAGGCTCAGTCGTCAGGCATTAGTGGCCAGGCCCTGTTCCCTTTAGGAACCCAAACTACCAAGACTGACCACAAAAGGTGATGCTATTGTCTTATCACTTTGCTCTTCTGTCTCTTTAATTCAACCATGAGCTCCTAGAAGGGTGGATCATGGTTTTGGCTTTGAATATTTAGGACCCAGCAAAAATACCTGCTTTGTCCCCTAGATAAAAATGTGACCACCTCCTGTGGGAGGCGTTCTCAGAAGCCATCTGGTACTTCCTGACTGCTGTCAGATTCCACCCCCTTCAGCGCTTAGGGTCGAACCCAAGGCTTGGAAACGCTTAGAACGTGCCAGGAAGGTGCCCCACACCGGCCACGTGCTCCAGCCCTCCTAATTACATTACAATGTACATTTGTAAAGAAGGCAAACACTCCCAGTGCCTGATGCTGGGGGTAGAGATGGGGGTGAGTGACAGTTCAGTAGTAATTCTGTCTTGCCCTGAAGCTTTCCACTGTGGCAACTGAGCCACAGGAAACTTCCCAACACCCAGTTATATTCCCAGGTTATAGAAATCCAAGGCTTGCGCAAGCCCTTTGGCAGGCATCACCAGCAGATCCGGATCCGAGCGGGGCACCTACACTTTGGGGGCAGCAGCATTCTTCCCATTTGCTCAGCGAAGGCCCTAATAGGGCTGCCTCCCTAAAACCACTAGCTTTATTCACATTAGCAATTTGTTCTAAAGCCACTGAATTCTTTAGTCAAGCAAAAATTTTAAAGTGAAATGGAATAGTGTATCTCCAATTTGAAAACTAGTGACTAAAGCAAGCCAGATACCATTCTACACAGAAGTGTCTGAAATGAACAACTGAACATTTTGCTTCTTGGAAAATCTAACTCCAGAGAGCTGGAGTACCTCTTGTTCTGTCCTTGGAACTGACACTACCCTCAGGGCCCACAGGCTCTATTTAATGAAATTCCCTCACTGTATTCTTCACTAAAGAGTGATGCATTTTGGGATGGGTGCAGTGGCACATGCCTGTAACCCCAGCAGCTCTGGAGGTTGAGAGAGGATTGAGGGTTCAAAGCTACCCTCAGCAAAAGTGAGATACTGCCTCTGAGTAAAATACAAAATAGGGCTCGGGGTATGGCTCAGTGGTTGAATGCCCCTGAGTTCAATCCCCCATACCAAAAAAAAAAAAAAAAGGGTAATGCATTTTGGACTCTTTTCAGTTCAGATGAGGAACTACTGGGCTCATAAAACCGGTTAAGACCCCAATTTGTGTATAATTCCTGGACTTATTAGCTAGTATCAAAAACTGGAGGGCTGAGGTTGTGGCTCAGTTGTAGAGCTCTTGCCTGGCATGTGTGAAATAAGTGAATAAAATAAAGGTTCATCAATGTCTAAAAATTATATATATATAAAAAAGTGGACCCCCCCGCCCCCCGGGAAGGCCCAGTTTGGCCCTTCTTGCAGTAGGCACCAGAGCTCGCCTTCAGAAACCAAAGTTGGGATGAGGGTTGGGTTGATCCTCAGTTTCAGGGAGCAGAGCCTGTGCTGTTGATGGATTTCGTCCTTAACTGCTGTGGCACAGAATCTCATCTTCAGATACTTGCAAAATAGATCCCGGATTCAGGTGTGGCTCTATGAGCAAGTGAATATGCTGATAGAGAGCTGCATTATTGGTTTCAATGAATACATGGACCTTGTATTAGATGATGCAGAAGAGAGTCATTCTAAAACAAAGTCAAGAAAACAGCTGGGTCGGATCATGCTAAAAGGAGATAATATTACTCTGCTACAAAGTGTCTCCAACTAGAAATGATCAATGAAGTGAGAAATTAGAGAAAGCAATAATTTTTTTTTAAATTTAGCTGTCTTTGCCTGGAATATAGTTCTAAAGCATTAGTTCACATTGTTTTGATGACCTATGTTATTACCAGATGAAAATAAATGCTGTGGGACTCTTTTTATTAAAACAACAACAACAACAACAAAAACTGGTGATACATGGGGCTTAATCAGGACTGCCTGGAGACCTCTGGAAGATTCAGATCGTATTTTAAAAGTTAAGTGGGCTGGGCTGTGGCTCAGCGGTAGAGCGCTCGCCTCGCACATGCGAGACCCTAGGTTCGATCCTCAGCACCACATAAAAATAAGTGAAATAAAGGTACTGCGTCTAATTACAACTAAAAAAAAATATATTAAAAAAAAGTTAGGCAGTATTAATATAAATGGGGTGGGAGGGCTTAGCTTAGCTCAAGCTGTCTTCCTTCTCCCATTGCATATTATTTCTGTCAAGGGAAATAAAAAAAACAAAACAAAACAAATTACATTTGAATATGGAAATTAATGGTTCTTAGCCAAGTTTTAACTACTGTTAGCTAACACATATTGACTGATGCCCATGGCTACTAGGCAGTTAAGTCTATGATTATGTGGTTTCTATACTTTACACTCTTGAGACACTGTCAAATTAGGTAAGGGAGAACTTGGAAAACCAAAGGAAGGTATAAAAACTCATGAGTATTCTCTATTCAGATGGCTCTCATCAATCATGCCATTTTACAGACAAAATTTACAACCATAAATGTGTATGTAGAAGACTCCAATTAGCAGAAGTCTAAGGAATGGCACAGCCCCACATGATTAGATTAGAAAACTGGGCTGGGGATGTGGCTCAAGGGGTAGTGCGCTCGCCTGGCATGCGTGCAGCCCGGGTTCGATCCTCAGCACCACATACAAACAAAGATGTTGTGTGCGCCGAAAATTAAAAAATAAATATTTAAAAAAAAAAAAGAAAATAAGTGTACACCAAAATCAAACAACTAGGGTATCTACACTTTTCAATTTCCTACTTTGATTGAGTAGCCACCAGTCCAGAAACATCGGAGGGCTTCAACTTTTGAATCCAAGTGACACAGGTCAGTCCCAGTCACCAATAGTGTTGGTAAGGATGTGGGGAAAAAGATAAACATTGCTGGTGGGACTACAAATTGATGTAACCAATCTGGAAAGCAGTGTGGAGATACCTTAGAAAACTTGAAATGGAACCACCATTTGACCCAGCTATCCCACTTAGTCTATACTCAAAGGACTTAAAATCGGCATACTACAGTAAATCGATGTTTACAGCAGTCCAATTCACAATGGCTAAACTGTGAAACCAACCTAGATGAATAGATGAATGGACAAAGAAACTGTGTAAGCCAATCCTGAAAAACCAAATGCTGAATGTTTTCTCTGATATAAGGATGTTGATTCATAATGGGGATGGCAGAGGGAGCATGGGATGAATGGAAGAACTTTAGATAGGACAAAGTGGAGGGAGGGGACAGGGGGGTAAGATGGATATCATTACCCTAGGTACATGTATGGAGACACGAATGGTGACTCTACTTTGTGTACAACCAGAGACATGAAAAATTGTGATCTATTTTTGTAGTATGAATTAAATTGCATTCTGCTGTTAGAATAAATTTATAAAATTATGGCATTTGCAGGTATGGATGGAGTTGGAGACTATCATGCTAAGTGAAGTAAGCCAATCCCCCAAAACCAAAGGGCAAATGTTCTCATAAGTGGATGCTGACCCATAATGGGGTGGAGTGGGTGCATGGAGGAACTTTGATTGGGCAAAGAGGAGTTGGGGAAGGGAGGAGGCATGGGGCAGGAAAGATTGTGGAATGAGATGGACATCATTACTCTAGGTACATGTATGACTGCACATATGGTGTGACGCTACATCATGTACAACCAGAGACATGAAAAGTTGTGCAGCAATTGTAGTCAGTGAATCAAAATGCATTCTGCTGTCATATACACCTAATTAGAATTAAAAAAAAAAAAGCAAAATGTAAATGGTTAAGGTGGGCCAGTGTAACATTATTACTGTCTTGTTCTTTTCTATTTCATTTCAAATAGACATTTTACAGTTGAAATCTCTTAGGCATCTAAAGGTATTTCTTAGAGCTCATCTAAAACACATTAAGAATGCTTTATATTTATTCACAGGACAGAAAAAAGATTGCAAGGGAATGCAAAATCATGCCACAGCAGCATGAAAACATTACTCATGAGCAGGGTGTGGTAGCAAACGCCTGTAATCTCAGAAACTTGGGAGGCCAAGGCAAGAGGATCACAAATTTGAGGTGAGGCCAGCCTCAGAAACTTAGTGAGATGGACTCAAAAAAAAAAAAAAAAAAAAGGCTGAGGATGTGGCTCAGTGGTCAAGTACCCTTGGTTTAATCCCTAGTACTGAAACAAGTAACCCCCTAGCAACATCCGAGAAGCACATGCCTCGTGGCCTGTAAACAAAGATAAACAGTTTGTTACCCTTTAGTTCCTGAAGTTTAGGACTACGGAGGCAAACATCAAGTGGTGGCTACAGCTCTTTGATAGTTTGTATTTCCAACCTTATTCACTATACTATTTTCACCCAGTCAAATACAATAAGCCAGAGCTTTTAATTTAGAGCATATTTTGAGAGAAACCTGAGACCAAGAGGCTTATGTGAAGGCCCTTGAGTATTTTAAGGACTCCACAAGAAGAGGGCACGCATGGCATTAGGGAACAAACAACTCATGATGCTGAAGCTGGGTCTGGAAGCTACGTGCTCTGGACACAGAATTTTAGGATAAGTGATTAACAACCTCTCAGTAATCTACACACTGAATAAATGAGAAAAGGAAAGTTCTAGTCTTCTGAGCAGAAGATGACGTTTACTAATGTGTTAACAAAAATGTGAAAATCACAAATGTAAATGCTCATATCTACTTCTGGTCTTTCAACATCCATCCACAAGAATGTTAATTTTTTTTGGTGGGGGATGGGGTACTGGGAATTAAGCCAGGGGCCTTAACCGCTGAGCAACATCCATGGTCTTACTGAGTTGCTTAGGCTGGCTTTGAACTTGTGATCCTCCTGCCTTAGTCCCCGAGATGCTGGGCTTACAGGTGTGCACTACCACACTCTGCAGCGACTCTGTTCTATATTTAATATTTTGCATCATTAAAGGTTCCTCCTTGACAGACTAACTTGTTTCCAATTCAAAGTGTAAACACTACAAAAATAGGAGCCAAGACTACTCCCCTCCACAACAGTTACTTTGAATGGTAAAGTCAAGTCTCTGGATGACAATCTTCCTTGAGCATAATGTTCTCGTGTTTGATATTTTGGTACATGACAGGCCTTGCTTAGGATTTTAGGAATGGAACAGAAGACCCAAGATTCATTATTTAGAGAATACTTTATTAGTTTCTGTAATCAAACCCACGTAGATAAGACCTTACATATTTAATACAGTGCGTTACCCCTGTACAAATGGAAAAAAATTAAGTTTAACATTTCTAGACCAATATGGCTGTTAATTTCTGTACAATGCCAACTCAACACGGTAAACTGGGATACTTTTCCAAAGTTGACAGCACAGCTAAAGTTTCCAAAAATTCAAATTATCTATATATGTATATATATATATATATATTTATATTTATATAAAAAGACCAATAATAGCAGTATGTTCTGCATCAGCAGCAGCAACAGCGTTTCCAGGTTCTGCAGTCATATGAACAGAATCATAGACACACCCAGCACACTCCATTTAAAAAAGGGGGGAAAGTAAAAAAACAAAAACAAAACAAAACCCGAGAAAACAGCAAAGTTCTGTTACTGTTGTGATACCTGGCACCATTTTTTTTTATTAGCTTCTCAATCATCATCTGAAAAGAAAACATTCTAGAGTAACATCATTAAAAACAGCTCTGATAAAGCACGGTCACTACCACGTATCATAAAGCAGGTACGAGAGGTTTAACATTCACAGCGTATGATACAGTACTGTCCTACATCTACAATACTAGAGGGTACGATTACAAAGGCAATTATTTGAGACTTGATTCTACTTTTCCAGCAGAGGGCCAAAAGGATGGTGTGACACAGTTCTGTAAAGAAATGTACTTCCTTAGGATTTCCTTTCATTGGCGGCACAGTTCCAAGTACTCACTCTCTTCATGAACGTCAGCTAAAAACCGTTAAGGGGGAGGGGGAACAAAAAGCAAAACAAAACAGCCATTGGATCCATACAAAGGTGACCAAGTGGAGGCAAGCAAGACTCAACCTAACTAGCACTTGACCAAATCTGTCATGTTTGAATGGTGAGCGCTCCATGGAAGAAAGGAGATACCCAGTAGCGCTCCAAGCTTCAGACCACAACCAAACACAGCATCATTTCAAACAGAGGCAGTTGCCAAACACTGCTCATTCAGATATGCTCAAGGATGCTGATGTCAATATTGAACCATCTGCTCACTCATTCGGGAAGAAGGGGAGATCAGTTACGACTGTACTTTGATTGTGTTCAACTCAATCATCATATTACAAAAATAGCAAGCTGCCATAATAAAAAATAAGGCTCCTCTCTCCAGCACCAGTTATCTTCAGCTCTTCACCTCCAAGCCTACAAATACCATAACCATATCCAACGAACATAAGGGAGCAAAGAAACCACATGTGATCTACTGGCCGGGTCCGCCACACTGTTCAGGCTGAGCTATTCCTCTGTGGTGTTATTTTCCTCCTATTTCTGGTGTTTCATCTAACCATAAAGATTTTTAGGTCTAAATTATATGCACTTCAGGAATATGTGCACATAGTCATATATAGATTCTGACTGAAGATGCACGGCCGTCAAATGAGCAAATGTTATACAGTAGGTGCAAGCTTGCCAAAGCCTGGTTTTAACTGGTACAGCAGCTGGGTGTCAGAGCAAATCACTCTTATGTCCTTGTGCATCTCCAAGCCCTAGACAGAATAATGTCACAGACCATTTTAACCGGGTGGCT